AGTACTGATACAGTATCAGATCATCAGGATGGTGCATTCTTTTTCACTCGCATTGTAGTCTATAAGAATCAGAGCGTCGTCCGAATTCCTCCAAATTTCTATATGAACCAATAAGTCGCACACTATGCACGCACATGTATGTAAGACTCGCACAACACACAAACACGTATGTAAGACTCGCACAATGCACGCACATGTATGTAAGACTCACACAGTGCATAAACACGTATGTAAGACCCACACAGTGCACAAACACATAAGACTCACACAATGCATGAACACGTATGTAAGACTCGCACAATGCACAAACACGTATGTAAGACTCGCACAATGCATGAACACATATGTAAGACTCGCACAATCAGGGCCGGACTGGGAAAAAAATTAGGCCCGGGCATTTTTCAATTAGAGCAGCCCCCCCAAAAGGGGGCGGGGCCAGAGAAAGTGAGCATGTTGGTTCAATGCGCAGAGCCCCGCTGAAGAGCTCTAGCATTAGAAAAAGGCCCTGTATTTGTTCTGCGCAGCGCAAGCAAATGTAATAACATGCTTGCGCTGTGTTTGCTTTAAAATTGTCTCTGGTGTCTCCACAAGTGGGATACCAGAGGACAAAAGGGCCAGGAAAGTGTATGGTGCATGTGTTTTGGCGCCTGCTTGTGGGATTGCCTGTGTGTAGAGTGTGGTGTGGTATTGTGTAAATAGGTCAATTTTGTGGTGTAATATGTGTGGCTAGGGGCTGTAGAGAGTGCGTGTATAGGGGCATAGTGTTATAGGGGATGTAGCGAGTGTGTGCATACGGGCAGTAGTATGTGTGTATAGGTGACGTAGTGTGTGTCCCTTATACACACACAATACTGTGTGTAGAGAGGGTGTGTTTAGAGAATGTTGTATGTGTTTGCTTACAAGGAATGTAGTGTGTGTGTAGGTGGTGCAGTGTGTGTGTAAGAGATCTAGTGTGTAAAGGACCCAGAGTGTGTATAGAAGATTGTGTGTGTGTGTGTATGTGTGTAGAGGATTAAGAGTGCATATAGGGAAAGGGATCTAGCGTGTATCTGGAGCGTAATGTGTGTAGTGGTGCAGTGTGAGGGGTGCTGTAGTGTGTGTGTGTATATATATATATATATATATATATATATATATATAGCAAAAAAACAGGATTGGCACTCTCCTTTAAGTAATAAGAAAGAACTAATAGCCTGGGTGCTATATGCCAAATGTCAGAAATATACGGCAGAAAATATACAGAAATATATTATATATACAAAAATCAAAACTGAGGATGCACTCACAGGACTTGGTTAAAGTGAAAAAAAGGGACATGGAAGGGACTTCCATGTGAAATAATTAAAAGTCCCTTTTTTTCACTTTAACCAAGTCCTGCGAGTGCATCTTCAGTTTTGATTTTTGTATATATACGTATTGTATGTGTGAGGTGCGCAGCGTGTTTGTGTAAGAGGGGTGCTGTGTGTGAGGGTGTTTTTATCTGCCGTCACATTCTGGGTTTCTAATTTTATTTGTCTGTTAACTCACTGAGGGTTATTTTATATAATATATATGTGCTGTATATGTGTAGGAGTAGGGTGCTGCTGTCTGTCTGAGGGTGTTGTATGCGTCTGGGGTGCGCTGTGTGTGTCTGTGGGGTACTGTGTGTGTCTGGGTGCTGTGTGTACTGTCTGTGTAGGGGTGCTGTGTGTGTGTCTGAGGGGAGCTGTGTGTGTGTGTCTGGGGGGGCTGTGTGTGTCTGGGGCTGTGTGTGTCTGTGGGGTGCTGTGTGTGTCTGTGGGGTGCTGTGTGTGTCCTGAGGGGGCTGTGTGTGTGTCTGGGGGGAGCTGTGTGTGTGTGTGTCTGGGGGGCTGTGTGTGTCTGGGGGGCTGTGTGTGTGTCTGGGGGGTGCTGTGTGTGTGTGTGTGTCTGGGGGGCTGTGTGTGTGTCTGGGAGGCTGTGTGTGTCTGTGGGGTGCTGTGTGTGTGTGTCTGTGGGGTGCTGTGTGTGTGTGTCTGGGTGCTGTGTGTGTCTGTGGGGGTGCTTTGCCTTTGTGTCTGAGGGGGCTGTGTGTGTCTGGGGGGAGCTGTGTGTGTGTCTGGGGGCTGTGTGTGTCTGTGGGAGATTACTGTGTGTGTCTGTGGGGTGCTGTGTGTGTCTGAGGGGGCTGTGTGTGTGTGTCTGGGGGGAGCTGTGTGTGTGTCTGGGGGGGCTGTGTGTGTGTCTAGGGGGGCTGTGTGTGTCTGGGGGTGCTGTGTGTGTCTGGGGAGCTGTGTGTGTGTGTCTGGGGGGTGATGTGTGTGTCTGTGGGGTGCTGTGTGTGTCTGGGGGGAGCTGTGTGTGTCTGGGGGGCTGTTAGGGAAATTATTTTAAATATATATTTTTTATTTTATTAATAATTAAAAAAAAAAGTTATGTCCCCCCCTCCCTTCTTACCTTTAGCCTGGGAGGGGGGAGATCCGTTCTGCGTGGGTGTGGGGAGCCGGGTATCCATGGAGGAGGGGGACCATGCTGCCTTCCCTGGTGGTCCAGTGGTGAGAGTGAACTCTAACCTGCGGGTTAGAGTTCACTCTCGCGAGATCTGAGCGTTGCCGCGGTAACCGCGGCAACGCTCAGAATCCCGCGAGAGGACCGGGCGGAGCTGCTAGCTAGAGCTCCGCCGGTCTTCTCCTCCCTCCCTCACCCAGCCGGCGGCCGCCTGTGACAGTGCCTGTGGGCCGGTGAGGGAGATCTGTGATCTCCCCACCGGCCCACGGAGGCACACAGCAGGGCCGGCGCTCGGATAGCGCTGGCCCTGCAGGGGCCGGTCGGGGAGATCCTGTGATCTCCCTGCCGGCCTCGGCCCCACGGCCATCGCGGCCCACCGGGCATTTGCCCGGTATGCCCGATGGCCAGTCCGGGCCTGCGCACAATGCATGAACACATATGTAAGACTCGCACAATGCACGAACACGTATGTATATAATATTTGCAGTACAGTAATTGGAACATTATTGGGGCCTTTTTGGTTCATCCGAATCATTTTCCTGAATATTTAGACAAAGCTAGCTGCCATGTGAATGTCTATCAGACTACCCAAACTATCTGGCTTCTTACTAATTTATTTTTTCCAAAAGGAATAGCATCGGTGCACCAAAACCACTTCATTAATGCCTCTCTAACATGGTTACATTGTCTCTTTAATACTCCTCTCTAACATGGTTACACTGTCTCTTTAATACTCCTCTCTGACATGGTTACACTGTCTCTTTAATACTCCTCTCTGACATGGCTACACTGTCTCTTTAATACTCCTCTCTGGCATGGTTACACTGTCTCTTTAATACTCCTCTCTGACATGGTTACACTGTCTCTTTAATACTCCTCTCTGACATGGTTACACTGTCTTTAATACTCCTCTCTGACAGGGTTACACTGTCTCTTTAATACTCCTCTCTGACATGGTTACACTGTCTCTTTAATACTCCTCTCTGACATGGTTACACTGTCTCTTTAATACTCCTCTCTGATATGGTTACACTGTCGCTTTAATACTCCTCTCTGACATGGTTACACTGTCTTTAATACTCCTCTCTAACAGGGTTACATTGTCTCTTTAATACTCCTCTCTGACATGGTTACACTGTCGCTTTAATACTCCTCTCTGACAGGGTTACACTGTCTCTTTAATACT